TCCCGGGGGGCAGCCGCGGGGTTCGGGCAGAGCGTGGTGCAGTTCGGCGGGGCCAGTGCTGGGAGGTAAGGGCAGAACTTGGGCTCAGGGGGGCCCAGTTACAGGCTCCCACCCAGGGGTGGCAGGTTGGCAGAAGTATTGGCGGTGCTAAAAGGGCCACAGCCTGCGCCCCTCCCCCCAAACTCTTCCTCTTCCTCCCCCCCACCTAAGTCTCTGAGAGGGAATTGGGATGGGGGAGGGGTGTGGGCTCTGGGATGGAGTTTGGGTGCAGGGAGAACGAGGGGTGGGGATCGCGGGTCGGGTGCAGGCTTTGGGATGGGGTCTGGGTGCTGGCTCTGACCTGGGATAGGGGGTGGGGGTCCTTGGTGCAGGCTCTGGGAGGGAGTTTGGAGTTGGAGGGGGGAAGCAGATCAGGGACACTAGGAAGAGGAAAGGGGGGACAGGCTCTTGGCAGAGCAGGGCGTCTGAGGGGGAGGGAAGGGAAGGGGTGACACACTTACCTGGGGCACCCCCCTCTGGCAGTGGCTCCACAAGGATGCACAAAGTGGAAAGTTTTGCAGGAGCCTGGCTCAGGGCCAGGAATATTCCTGGTGCCAGGGCACCCAGGGCCCATTGATCTCACGGCCCCTGCTCACACCCACCCCGGGCAGAGGTGCGGGAAGGAGGAGCATGGGGGTGATGCTGCAGCACCCCTGGCTTTGTGCCCACTGTTTCTACCATGCTGGGATCCCACCACTGGCCCATGGCCAGGGACCTCCTATTGCCTGGGCTCCCAGCCCCAGGATCTGTGCTCAGACCCAGGGACCAGACTGCTGGTCCCCCCTGCTGCTGCCAGCCCCTTGCCTGGGGCTCTGTGCCTGGCCCTGGCCCAGATCTCCCCATCTGTCCCCAGCTGGGGGCAGGGAGGGGCATGGACAGGTGTAAGGGGGGGCACAGCTCAGCACCCCCATCCTAGACATTGTTGCAGCACCACGGCCCCTGAGGTACCTGCCTGGCTGGGCTGCACCTCCCAGGAGAGATGGGGGGCCCTGACCCCCCCCTTGCTCTCTCCCTGCAGGCTGATTGTCGGGGCCCCGCTGCAGACGGGAAACGTGAATGAAACCGGCAAAGTCTACACGTGCGACGTGGGCTCCCGACGCTGCCAGGAGATCCCCATCCAGAGTATGGTCCTGCGCTGTGGGGTGCGGTGGGGCAGCACGGGCAGGCTGGGAGCTGGGGCTACCGGGGTCCATCCCAGGCCCTGGGAGGGGAGGAAGCTCTGGCGGGGTGAGCGGGGGAGGCTGGAAGCCGGACTCCTGGGTTCTATTTCCATGCAACTAGGTGGGGGGGAAGGGATTTGCAACAATTTGCCTTCATTGCCCTACCGTGAAGGGTATAGCCAACGGCGGGGAGGGTGAACTGACTCAGACGTGCAGGGCTAACCACATTCATCCACAAGGTTTCTTACCCTGGTGCTGGTGCGTTTCCCCTCGCAGGGCCCCTGGACGCGGTGAACATGTCCCTCGGACTGTCCCTGGCTGCCCATGGCTCTCAGCTCCTGGTGGGTACTCCAGAGGGGGGCAGGGGCTCGGTCTATGGGTTGTTCTCCTCCCCCCAGCAGTGGGTGTGGGCTGAAATGTCAGCGCAGGGACATCGTAGAGAAGGAACCAACCTGACGACCTCCCGGCAGTGCAGAGCGACTGTGCAACCTCCCCGAGGGGTGATGGTACCAAAGGGTGTGAGCCCCTCTGTGCGGCTCTCCCCAGGAAATTCATGGCCGGGTGACACAGGCCCCTATCTCAAGAGCCAATGATCTGACCACAACTACAGACTCTGTCCGCCTGTGTCAATCTCACCGGAATATGACTTTGTTACCATGGTGAGGGTTGAATAACAGTATGTGTGTAGGGTGGTGCTAACCACTAGAATGACTGTGCCAGGACGCTGTGCAGAAGGTTGTAACGTGATAACGTCACTTTGACAACAGGCACAGTGGGATTGGGTTTGTCTGAGACGTGGTGTTTTTAGGGATGGGGGTAACCAGGTGAAGTCTCCATGGGGACAGTGACTGTGTGATATCATTGTGACAGACGGGGGTATCTAGGTGATGTCACAGTAACTGGGCACAACCATAGTAGGGAGTATAGTAGCCAGGTGATGGCCCCTGTCCGCTCTTTGGGAGACGGGTGCTGAGTCCTGGGTCCTGTTCTCCCCGGGGGGGACCCTGCCCCAGCAGGATCTTTTCCTGTGTACCCATGAGGGAACAGGCTCCCCTCCCCCACAGTGCTCTCCTTAGGGACGCCCAGTGACCTCATCCCTCTCTTGTGCCCCAGGCCTGCGGCCCCACGGTGCACCAGGCCTGCGGGGAGAACATGCACCTGAATGGCTACTGCTTCCTCCTGGACCAGAGCCTCCGGCAGCTCCGGCGCATCCCGGACACACAGCCAGGTGAGGGGTGGGGGGGGACTGGGCCAGACGGGATCTTCGATCTGGTCTAGCTCTTTCCACTGAGTTTTCTGGGTGTTGGTGGAGTTAAGTCAGGCGGTTCAGATTGTACCTCTCTAGCCGGCATCCTCGGGAACCAAGTGTCATGGAAACCCAGGCACAGGTCCCCCCACACCAGCGCCTCTGTGAGGGTGGGGGAGGAGTTGCTCACTACAGGCCCAGCTTTTCCCACTCAGTGCTCCAGTCTGAGAGCAACCACTGAGATCCCGGCTCACAGGTGTGGCCGGACAATGGACGTCTGGACGCTAGAGATCCAACCGGCTCTTCTTCCCCATCACAGAGTGCCCCAAACGGGCCACGGACATCGCGCTCCTCATCGACGGCTCGGGCAGCATCGACCCCTGGGACTTTAGAAAGATGAAAACGTTTCTCTCTGAGATCATGAAGCGTTTCGGTGGCACCAACACGCAGGTAACAGGCAGAGGCAGAACCCTGCTTATGTATCTGCCCTTCACATGCAGGGCTGGCCCCAGTGCCCCAGTGTTGTGCATCCAAAACCAGGAACCCTCAAATGCCTGCCCCAGCCGTTGACTGAATCTGGTTCCTGCTTCTCTGACCCTTCACTCCTCGGGGTGTTTCTCTCTTTCCCCGACCTCTCCTTGCAGTTCGCGCTCATGCAGTACTCCCATCAGTTTGAAGAGCACTTCGACTTCACAGCGTACAGGAGAAATCGTGACCCAGACAACCTTGTCAAGGGAGTTCAGCAGCTTGATGGATGGACACACACGGCCACCGCCATCCAGAAAGTGGTGTAGGTATCGTCCCGCTCCCTGTGCAGACTCCACAGGGAAAGGGCTGCCATGACTTGCAAGCTAAGATATAAGGATTCAGGGACTAGTGGTTAGAGGTGGTGGGCTGGGCATCAGGATGCGTGGGCTGCATCCCTGACTCTGGGAGGCAGGTGGGCACTAGAAGGTTAGAGCAGAGCTTGGAGCAAGGACTCCAGGGTTCTATGGTCAGCCCTGAGCCTCTGTTGCTGTGTGACTTTAAGCAAGTCACAGCCCCATCTGCCTCAGTTTCCCCATCAGTACAATGCAGACAATGACACTGAGCTCCCTTGTGAAGGACTTTGCGATTGGCAATGCCAAAGCAGAGGATGGAGCTAGGTGCGGTTATGGATTGATTAGGAAACTTACCCGGCATTGCCTTGGTCCTTCCGGGCAGGGGGCTGGCACTGGGGGGGTGCAGGAGTCACAGCAGGGCCTTGAGGGGGTGGGGAGCTCAGGGCAGGAGGCCAGGGCATGGAAGGGTGTGAGAGTGAGGGTTGGAGGTTGAGGAGGGGCTCATGGCAGGAGGTGGAGGTGGCCACTGATTTCTGCCTGGTGGCATCCCAGGGCAGCAGGGACTGTGCACCCCACCCTCCAGGTTGTCCCCAGAGTCCAGTGGGGGAATCGCTCCTTCCCCATGGTTCCTCCGTAGTGGGGGGTGGGCAGTGGAGGCTGTCTCCTGGACAGGAGGGCCCCACTTACCTTGGTGGTACGGCTGCCCCCAGTGGCCACTCCACATCATGGCTCTCCCTTGCAATCACTGCCCCCAGTGGCCACTCTCAGATCACATCCCTCTGAACTGCAGCCCCTCCCTTTGCATGTTATGGAAAACAGTCCCATTCCTGGCACTTCCCATCTTCCTGGCACAACCAAACCCCGACCTTGCTTTAAGTTAGGAGGAGAGGAAGCTGCAGCGATAACCCGCCCATGTGTCCCCTCCATTTCCAGGCAGGAGCTGTTCACTTCTGGGAGCGGCACTCGAGATGAAGCCACCAAGATTCTCATTGTGATCACAGATGGGGAGAAAAACGACCGACTTCCTTACTCAGCCGTTATCCCCGAGGCGGAGAGAGCTGGGATCACCCGCTACGCCATTGGGGTGAGCTGCGGCCAGGCAGAGAGCTGGTGCAGGTCTGAAGCCAGGAACAGGGTGGAGGGGGGAGGTTGATTGCTTCAAGCATGGGAGGGCACAAGCGTTGGGACAATGCGCTGGGCCAGTGATGCTATCGCAGAGCCGGCCTTTCACTAGCCTGACTGAGGAACAGATTCTGGCTCCGCACACTCATGCTTGGTGAAGATGAGCAGCATTGTCCAGTCCAAAGTGGAGAATCCAGTCCACGTGCCCACTCTGCTGGGCTGGAAATGCAGGATGCTGCAAGGGGGCATAGGCCAGGGTTAGATGGGTGGGTATGTGCCCAGGGCTCTTGGCTGTGACTGACACTGATGCCCTGGTCTCCCCTGCATCTTTCTTTATTACACAAAGGTCGGCGATGCCTTCTCCAGCGATGCTGCCCAGAGGGAGCTCCGAGAGATCGCCTCTGAACCCACCGACCAGCACGTCTTCCGGGTGGACAATTTCGACGCCCTCCAGGGCATCCAGAGCCAGCTGCAGGAGAAGATCTTCGCCATCGAAGGTACCAGAGTCAGGGCAGGGCCGCACTGGCCCTGATGCTCTAGAGATGTGTCTCCAGGCCCAGGTGGGAGGGGGCTGCTGGGAATCCAGAGCTCAAATAGGCACCAATATTGTCTCTCTTTCCCCATCCAACATCTGCCTATTGCTCTCACTCCATGAATACTGCTGATACATTTGCCATCCGGGGACACCCAGGCAGGGGCCTGTCTGGTTCAAAGGACTGAGGGATGCGATACAGCGACCTTCTTTTCTCTCTGGATTGAACCCAGCCTCAAGGTGGGGGGAGGGGCTGGCTCTGGGGAGCAGGGAATGGGACACCGGTCCTTTCCCCTCTATGATGGTCTCTCCCGTGTCTGTCTGGCTGTCTATCCCCCCAGGCACCCAATCCCAGAGCGGCAGCTCCTTCCAGCTGGAGATGTCTCAGGCAGGATTCAGCTCCCTGCTGTCCCCGGTGAGTGACGCCCGGCCCTAGAGCCTGCCCCATTCTGCCCTGATGGATCTTTCAGCCTAAGGATCCTGAGCCTGGTTTAGGGCCTGCAAAGCTGCTGGCTCTGCTGCCCTGCTCACTCCTGTGCATCTCCTGGCCCCCTGCTGCCCATGGGTGACTCGAAAGCCCCAGCGACCCCTGCAGGAGTGGCGTGAGAGCTGCTTTTCCCTTGTTGCCTCAGTAGGGGGCGCTCTCTCCCCCCCAGCAATCCCCGCTGTCCCCTGTCCTGCGCTGAGCCGTGCTGTGCTGCAGATGGTGCGGGGATCTCGTGAATCTCTCCTGGGCAGCGCATTATCCGTCATCCCTCTCTTTGCCGTGCATGTCGGTTTAGGAGGGGCCGGTGCTGGGAGCGGTGGGAGCCTACGACTGGTCCGGTGGGATATATTCATATGGGACCAGTGGGGAGCCGAGCTTCATCAATGTGTCCAGAACCTCCAGCGACATGGATTATGCTTATCTGGGTAAGAACCCAGGCTCTGCACCCCCCTCTGCAGCCAGACCTATCTCTCTGCCAGCAAATCGCACAGAAGGTTTATTCATTGACAGAGACACAGCGTAGCACCCACTTGCTGCTAACAAAGGGAACCAGGAGCAGCCAGCACAATCCACCTTGGGGAGAGGGAGGCCCAGGGCCAGCACCCTGGTCCCCCTTCCTGCATCCTCCCCCAGCCCAGAGTAACTCTCCCACCCAGCAACTGGCCCCAGCCCTCCAGCCCCGCCCCCGCCTTTGTTCAGATTCCTGGGCAAGGTGTCACCTGGTTGCTCCTTCACCCAGGCTCAGGTTACAGGACAGTCTGAGCTATTGTTGGGTACCTGCTAAGATGGGGCAGTCAGGGATGGCCTCCCACTCAGGGAGAGCCACCCCCAACATTCCCATACCCAGCTGAATTCCAGTGCAGGGCCCAGGGAAACTGAGGCACATACACACGGGAGCACAACAGAGCAGCACAGGACAGTAGGAATCACACCCAACATAACAAAGTGAAAGGAGTGAATACAATCCCCCCCACCTCACACAGGCCCTGCCCCATCTAAGTGACGGTTGCGTCTCCATTCGGGGCAAGGGATCCCTGTGGAGCACTGTCCTGTGGCTGTTTCCCATCTCACCTCCCCGCGTCCCTCTCTTCCTTTGAGGTTACTCATCTCAGGTCATCACCGCCCGTGGGCAGAGCAGCTACGTGGTCGGGGCCCCTCGCTACCAGCACGTCGGCAAAGTCGTCCTGTTCAGCCGAGATGCCAGCAGCGGGCAATGGGCAGCCAGCTGGGAGAAGGACGGGGAGCAGGTATGGGGAGCACGACAGACAGGGTGGAGCCGGTGTTGAAGGAAGCCTGTACCATTCTGACACCCTGTTATAGTGAGATTGAGTCAGAAGGACTCAGGAAGGGGAATCTTTCACAAGTTTAGAAAACTGCAGTCGGCATCTCCCCAGCATCCCACTGCCCTGATAAGTGAGGGCTTCTCTGCACTCAGTGTCTCTTCAATGCTGAAGCTGTGCAGGGAGAGCACTGCAGTGAGGAGGATACCTCTGCCAAGAGGAGGCTCTCTTTCCCCAGCCACCAGGCAGGGGCCTGTCTGGCTCAAGGGACTGAGGGATGTGATACAGGGGCCTTCTCTCTAGGGGGAACTGGATCCAACACAGCCTCGAGGTGGGGGGAGGGGCTGGCTCTGGGGAGCAGAGAATGTGACATGGGGCCTTTCCTCTCTATGATGGTGTCTCCTGTGTCTGTCTGTCTGTCCCCCCAGGCACCCAGTCCCAGAGCAGCAGCTCCTTCCAGCTGGAGATGTCTCAGGAGGGATTCAGCTCCCTGCTGTCCCCGGTGAGTGACGCCTGGCCCTAGGGCCTGCCCCACGCTGCCCTGATGGATCTTTCAGCCTAAGGATCCTGAGGCTGGTTTAAGGCCTGAAAAGCTGCTGGCTCTGCTGCCCTGCACACTCCTGTGCATCTCCTGGCCCCCTGATGCCTGTGGGTGACTCGAAAGCCCCAGCGACCCCTGCAGGAGCGGTGTGAGAGCTGCTTTTCCCTTGATGTCTGAGGGGTGCTGTCCTGCCTGCAGGGCCTCAGTAGGGGGCACTGTCTCCCCCGGCAGTCCCCGCTGTCTCCTGTCCTGTGCTGAGCCGTGCTGTGCGGTGGATGGGGGAGTCTTGTGAATCTCTCCTGAGCGGCGCGTTATCCGTCATCCCTCTCTTTGCCGTGTGTGTTGGTTTAGGAGGGACCAGTGCTGGGAGCGGTGGGAGCCTACGACTGGTCCGGTGGGATATATTCATATGGGACCAGTGGGGAGCCGAGCTTCATCAATGTGTCCAGAACCTCCAGCGACATGGATTATGCTTATCTGGGTAAGAACCCAGGCTCTGCACCCCCCTCTGCAGCCAGACCTATCTCTCTGCCAGCAAATCGCACAGAAGGTTTATTCATTGACAGAGACACAGCGTAGCACCCACTTGCTGCTAACAAAGGGAACCAGGAGCAGCCAGCACAATCCACCTTGGGGAGAGGGAGGCCCAAGGCCAGCACCCTGGTCCCCCTCCCTGTATCCTCCCCCAGCCCAGAGTAACTCTCCCACCCAGCAACTGGCCCCAGCCCTCCAGCCCCGCCCCCGCCTTTGTTCAGATTCC